TGATTTGTCGCCTGGAATAGGAAAATTGTAGTTAGTGGAGTTGGGTTCATAGCCGTGCAAGAACACCTCGAATGTATTTGCCAATCATTTTCGAGTCATTGAGGTCCAACTGCGTCCCACATTGGTCAGCGCATTCACCCGCACATCATGGGCAATCTGTCTTCGAGATTAAATAGCTCAGCATACTTGAAGACCTATTTTAGACTGGACGTGAGCAGTTTAAACTGCGTAGTGGCTGCTTTCGGAAAGGAATATACCACAGCTCGAGCGATAGCCATCTCCAGACGTTACCCGTATCCGGAATGCCGAATTCTAGCATTTATAAAGGATTTATCAGCTTATTCAATGTATGAGGTCCATTTTTAAGCATTATTAAGTAAGAATTGGTTATACAACCCAGTCATCGACTAGAAGAATCACGCCATAAAATGTCGCGAGTTCACGGCTCTTGTTTTTTGTAAAAATCGAGAACACTGTAATTCTAGGCGCCGATCCTCTGGTCCGTGCAGATATGCCGACCTTTCTCTTCCAACTGAAGATTCAAATTTGGTTGCTGAGGGAACGTAGTTACATGCTTAAACTCATCAAAATCTGTTTGATGATTTAGCGTTTCTGCTTGTATACCATTACCTGGAATTGAATATACACTACCGCCTCTACATTTGAAGGACTTCACAAGAACCCGTGATGACCCAGAGAATTATATTTTTGGTGTACTGGAGAGAGGCCACACAATCTTATTATACACTGTCAGGTCCGGGTTAAATGCAGCCGATGAAGCCTTGTGGTCTCTTCTGTCTGCATTAGTTTTCCAGCTCGGTTCAGGGAAATATTCTTCAAATACGTGGTGCTCTGTGTCCATCCAGCCGGAGCGGGGTTGGGATTCTGCTGCCGCGGCTGTCGGCGTTAACACTGCTTCAGATAACGTGGCGCCTGACTCACTTATCTCTCAACGACGATCTACCACTAGCCGCATATCCTCTGGACTGCTAACATGGTCTGGTGGATTAGATCTCCACCACCTGCTGCTCCACGTCCTTGTATTTAGTATTTTCCTGCCCTTAGGGTTGCGCTCCTGTGAAAGAGCACCGGACTGACAGATATCCTACACGACCGCACTGGAGACATCGAAATTGAAGGCCGACTTTCTGAAGCTTAATGATGATATTTGTGCTAAAATAGAGGTAAACGGAACTAGCTCATGGCAGGAATGTTGGACACCTAGCAATATAAAGATTACTTTGCACATAGTCGAAGTCCTTGCATCTGACGTCAATTTATTCAAATTTTCGAACTCAAAATTCGTTTGTCTTTTCGACTCAAAAATAAGTCATAATGCTCTCGGACTCGTGAAACCGGGCCATTGGAAGAGCACGATTTACCATGTGTGTCAGTGCTACAAATGACCATCCGTCTCCCGTTTATGCAGCCAGACAAAATTGCGCCAGTTTGATGCGCAGTCTTCAAATTTTAAATTCGTTTTCTGAAAGGGATTCGGACGTCTTGCATTACAGAATCCGTCACCATCGTTAAAATAAGAAATTAAATGTGCGCGTGAAGTAGATGCAGCCAATTCTATTCGTCACAATAGCAGGTGATAGATCTTTGACAAAATATATCCAACAACTTAGCGGATTTGAAATTTGTCGTCGTAAGCGATTTCGTCTTCTGTTAGATGATCATAGTGCTGTGCCCCTTTCTGAGAAGTACGACAATATATCCTCCTAGCCGCGCCTGAATAGTGTCCTACTCACGAAGAGACTTTACATGCTGTCGAGAGCCACCTGAAGAAAATAATGCATCCACCGACATGCGATGAGCCTTTTTGCTAATCCAACAATAGTACGACATTTGGCATGTGTTTCTTTTTTGCAATATGCGGTCGAACGCTGGCCCGTGCCGAGCGATACACATAATCGTCAGGAAAATCATCACCTCCTGGGAGTATTTGTCGGTAATAAATATATATTTCCTTCTGGTAAAGGGTCTGTCGAGTCTCTCAAGTCCGTCCGCAGCAGTGTGCGCTCCATGCCAAAGTACTCGTGGCCACTGGACGATTCGGGGACGTTGACGACTTGAACTGATTGGAAAGCTTCCGTGTGATGGCCTTCGACGCCCACTTTGTGAGTACAATCTCCTAGATGATCGTCAAGGCAAGTCGTTTCCAGTCACCAAAGGATCCGGTATGCGCAACAAACATTCGCCCGAACAGCCATAGCACGCTGTTCGGAACAGGACCCATGATTGTGGTAAATCGTTTATTTCGAGAAAATATGTCCCCGTGTTGACTGATATTGTGTGACATAATATTGCAAAAAAGTCCTGGATAGTGAGGCGCCACACAACCACAGTTCCTCTGCCTTGTGACGCTTTTATCTTCTTCGCGACAGCTTTATCCGTTTCTCGAGAAGTCACCCGCTATGACGATTTCGCACCTTCGGAGACACCTAATTGAGCCTTAGCACTAGCCTCCATCCCAGCTTCCATATCCGTCAGGTCTGATCAGAACGGCTGCGTATTTTGGACGTAAGCAATGGAAAGTGGACCCTCGCGACCCACTGACCCAGACGCACTCCAGACGCATAACGGATTGTCTCTGCTTGGAGCGTCTGATACAACCATGCCTGTCTCGCGCCGAAGTACCTTTAGATGGAGGATGTGATCGGCTTTGCCCGTCCTCTTTCCCTTGACAATTGTAAACCTTGTAGACAGGATCAAGGTTGCCCTCCGTCGATCAGACAGGAGGGATGATCCTTATCGGAAAAGAGCTTAGTAATAAATTGGTATCTCGTCTTTCATGATGTTCTGCCTTTTACCAGATTATGGTCTGTTTACAGGCTTACACTTGATTGACTGATCACTGTAAATTGACGAGTTGAGCGGTGAGCAAGGAGATCCAGATGACGTTTGGTGACTCAAATAGTTGAAGTTGGTCATAATACGATTATTCAAAATACATATGTTTATCAATTAAAGCTCAATTCTACTCATTTCTAGAGTAATTTATCATTAATTGAATCTCCCATTGCATCTTCCATCTCTCATTGCACGTTGAGTTCACTTAAGGATTAAAAGCACCTTACTACGAGTGTAATTGTAGCTATGTTAAACTGTGTTAGTACAAGAAGTAGGTTCTCGCTAAATGACTACCGTGGAGGACGCCCGACAAGCCATTTCTAGACGTCTTGCTAGCGCGGTATCGACCGTTCGATATCAAGGGCGCGTCAAGATGTAATACGTGACGGCGTGTAACTCGGAGGAGGTAAGCATATATAAATTGAAGAATCTTATAGGGATAAGACGCTCAAGATACGAGATATGGCAAAAGTGTCGTGTGGACTGCGGTACAAGAGCCCTAATATTTCCGATGGATCAGAGGAAAATTGTCTGGTCTTTCGAGTAAAGCTATCCTGGTGCGAGAAATTTCAGTAAAATAGCGCATGTCAACTGATGGTAAGCAACCTAACAGAGTACGATGAGACAATTTACCCGTCATTGATGTCAAGATTGTGCAGAAAGATGTCATGAAAAGCTTGAAAGGACATTGCGTATAATTTTTAAAATAGTTGTAGTGTGCTATCGTTGCTAGTCAAATCTGTCGTCAAACAGCCTCAATGCACAAAAACAACAACCACTGAGCTAAGCTGGCGAAAAGGGATGATACATTAAGACAAGTCCCTACGCGGTTCGCCTTTTAGGTTCAGTTGTGGCTTTCGCCTGACCGATTACTCGCAACCACTTCCCACAGAATTCTGCCTGATCTCAGCAGCTTCATAACCTCTTACTTCTGTGACTACACAACAACGGGTTGAAACCGTCGTTATACGCGCTTTTACAGGCCACCAAGCGCATTATATGATCGACAAGAAGAATCACGGTGTCCCCGGCTGAGGCCCACCAGCTTGTCACTTAGGCAACTCTTTGGAAAGAGGATTTCTCTTTGATGATAACCGGCTCGTCGTCGACGACACTCAAACGGTCCCTATTTCTGAGGTTTGCCAGCTTGTCGTCGACGAGAATGATTTCTTCGCTGAAACTGAGCGTTACTCAACTCGGACCTTCCTCAACTTTTAACGTCACCAGTCGAAACCTCTGCAAGCTATGCCTCTCGAGGTTCGACCGCAAGCATAATCTAGACCCCGCTGGGACTTGCCGTAAGTGTAAGCGCGTCTTGGACTGCAGAAAATGCTACACTGTATCGGTGTATCTCTTATGAAATTTTGCAATGGCAGTTTGAGTGGCTTTCTGTCCTTCTCATATTTATTTACACAAACAAGATATTGAAAGTGACGTCCCGTTTGTTGTTGCTTTAAACTATCACGAGAGTTCGCCGACCTCCAATTTGCCGACTTCCAATTCGCAGACCTCCAATTCGCTTACCTTAGTCACCGACCTCCATTTCGCTGACATCCTTTAACCGACATCTAGATCGCTGATCTTCAGATCGCCCACTTGTGTATAAAGTTTAGAATAAATTTATCTACGCCACAGTAGTTACTTTTCTACGGTTATCTTCAGACACACACACACACACACAAAACCATCCGGAGACAGAACTGCTGTAAGAGCAGCGGGGGTGGTCGGCTAGGGCCTGCGAACTGTAGATCATTGCTTCTTGTAACATATAACACTTGAACGGTTATTTGGCAGTAGCCGTGAAGCTTGTCCCTTGATTTGTTGTGTAATTATGAGCGGGCAAGAGGGGTCGTCTGACAGGACGAATGTCTTTGTAGACTGTATACAACCACGAGCTACAAACAAGCCAGGTCGCGTTTTTCTCGAGCTGATTTTCCATTTTTCTTTTTGTGTTTGTTTGCGCCTTTTTTTGCTCACGTCTGCCTTTGTGTCCTTGTTTGTGTCTTTGTGTCTCCCTTTTGCTCCTTCCAAGTCGCCTCTGCCGACGAAAAAAAGTCGACGCGATCATCGCCAATCACGTGACTTTCCCTCGAGGGGGTCGTATTCTTCTAGAGAGAGCGAGCGAGCCACCCACACTTTAAGCGATGTTCCGCTCGCCAAAGCCCGGGGATTGGGCTGCCGACGACGAAGATACGCTGCCTGTGCCTGCCGCTATCCCGCCACCCGACAACGCAGCAGCAGCGTCTGAAGCAGAAGCTGTCGCGCCGCCAGCTGCGCCCGTGCAGGACGCGCGAGGAGACGCGCGCAGTCATAGCGGCGGGCGCTTTGATCGGGACAGGAACAACACCGACGGGCGTGGGCAACGGAACACTGGGCGCTTTGACCGGGACAAGGCACCTCACGGGCGTTTGGACCAGGACAGAGGATCGGACCGAGACGGCGCACGGTCTGAACGCGACAGAAAGGACCCGGCCGAGCGCTTGGACCGCGACCGGACCAATGGCCACGAGGGGGGACGGTTTGAACGGGACCGCAATCATCACGCGGACGGACGATATGACCGGGACAGAGATAGTGATCGAGATGGGGGGCGGTTTGATCGGGACAGACATAGTGGCCGAGATGGGGGGCGGTTTGATCGGGACAGACCCAGCGGTCGAGATGGGGGGCGGTTTGATCGGGACCGACACAGTGGTCGGGAGGAGGAGAACTCGGACAGGAACAGAAACAGTGGTCGGGAAGGAGACCGTTATGAACGGGGCGAGGGACGTGCTGACGCTGGCCGATGGGGACACCATGCTGATCGACGCGGTGACGCGAGGGGTGGTGGCCGGGACTTGCCGGTGGAGCAGGGCTTTGTGGTCTCGATCAAGGAGAGTTTCGGCTTTGTGAGCTGCTTGGAGAGAGACGGAGACTTGTTTTTCCACATCTCTGAAGCGCCCGTGGACGTGCAGTTACATGATGAGGTGGAGTTCCGAGTCAAGTACAACCAGCGGTCGGACAAGGAAATGGCGTGCCAATTAGTGGCACTGCCCAAGGGAAGTATCAAGGTGGAAGAAATCGGAAGCGATCTACTTGACGGCGTTGTGACCAAGAGTTTGCCGCGTGGAGGACATGGCAACAATCGGGGAACTCATACTGGTGACCGGCACTATAATCGTGAGGAATACGGACTCATTGCGATCAAGATGGCAAGTGAAAGGGAGGGCGCAAAGGAGATGGATGCAAAAGAAGCGGCCATTGAAGAAGTAGAATCGAGCGAGACGGCTGACAAGAAGGCGAATGTAAAAGAAGCTGCCATTGAAGAAGGAGAATCGAGCGAGACGGCTGACAAGAAGCCGCTCATCAGACGCGAGTTTGTGCGCTTTAGCAGCGACAGTGTGGCTGGTTCTAGTGTGAAATGGGGTGAGAAGGACCAAGAACAGAGTGACGAAAACAAGAAGGGCATCAATCTTTACTCTGGTGACGAGGTTCGCTTCCGTATTGCGAAGCACCGCAAGACAGGAGCAAAACGTGCTGTGGATATTACGGTTGTGATGTCTGCTCGGGACAAAGTTGAGAAAGACATTGAAGCGAAGTTGGCAACAATGACGCGCGAGTTTGGCATCGTGAGTCGAGTAAAGAATGGTGGTGGATTCATTAAGTGTTGTGATCGTCCCGTGGACGTCCACTTTCATTTTCGTGAGATCCTTGAGGTGGCGCAGTCTGAGGCAGATACTAAGAATGGCGAACACGACGACGGACAAGCGGAACCGGGTGACAAACCTCAGCGTGGCCAACCTGGAAAAGGGTCTGCAGTCCGAGAAGGTGACGAAGTATCCTTTTTCGTGTATGAGGACTCGGTAGACGACTCCACTCGCTCCCAGCCACGTTTGACGGCGGTCCGTGTGCAGAAACTTCCGTCCGGAACGGTTTCTTTCGAAAAGCTGTTGCAGACCGATCTCAGGGGTCTTGTATCAACGCCCCCCAAGGAGCCCCGTAGTGGTCATGAGGTGATTGGTAAGATTGCCGTTATACCTGCAAAGCTCAGTGATACAGGAAGCTCGAAAGAGGCGGCAGATACGGCCAATGACAGTGTGCCTGAAAGCGACGAAAAAGTCGGTACGAGAAAAAAGGGTAAGGATAAGAAATCTGTGGACCGAACAGTGGCCTTCAGGTTGCGTGACATCGAAGACGTGAGTTATGTTCCTCGCACAGACGACGAGGTGGTGTTTGACGAAGTGTTGGACAAGCGTACGGGCAAGGTGAAGGCCGCGAAAGTCCGAGTCGTACGGCTCAACCATAAGAACCGTGAGACCGGCATCGTCAACGCTATGAAGGAAGACTTTGGTTTCATCAAGTGCGCTGAGAGGTCGGGGGATGCGTACTTCCGTTTTTCTGATGTCATTGGCACGAACCGCAGCTTTGGTAATGGCACGGAAGTGGCGTTTGATGTCGACGTTGACAGCAAGTCGGACCATATCCGTGCGACGCGTCTTCAAATCTTGCCTAGAGGTAGTGTAAAGTGGGAAGATGTCGTTGGCGAAGGCATCGAGGGTGTTGTTGCGGCAGTGCCAAGCTCGAGGAATGGTCATGCTTCGAACCGCGGTGGCCGAGGAGACAAAATGAAACGGATGCAAAAGTTTGTGCCTGGCAAGATCAAGTTTGTGACTCCGCAGAAGCAGCATGCGATTGACTTTTTGCCGGACCTGAAGGAAAAGCTTGTTGCAGCTTGTGTAACTTCAGAAGACGTTGTTGAGGAAGTACAGGAGGAGGAGGGTGATGAGAAGAAGTCAGAAGAGGCTGAAGATAGCGCAGAAACTCTGGTTTTGTTCCCTAGTACTCTGTCGAGGTTTGAACGAGCTGCTTTGCACGATTACAGCGTCTGGCTCGGACTCAAGACCAGAAGCAAGGGAGGAGGTTCTCATAGTCAATTTGAGATCTTTGGAAAGAGGAAGATAGCAATGAAGGCTGTCGAAGAAAAGCTCGCGACGTCTGCGCCAGAGCTCACAGCAGAGTTCAAGGAAGATGACGTAGTTGACGTGCGATACAACCCGAAAGTGGGAGACCGCGTCAGATTCGATCTTGCGGTGGTCAAGCGAACGAAGGAACTCCGATGCACATCCGTATCGTGTTTGGAGGCAGCCGTCGTTAGTAAGCCCAAGGTAGCTAGCGTGAAGAAAGAGGCGAATACGGGTGAAGGATACATTATGTCTGTGAAGCCAGAAGGTTTCGGGTTCATTCAACCTGCTCAATCCGGGCTTGGATCGCCAGAAGAGAACCTGTTTTTCCACATTAAGGATATCACGACGGGGCAGACTTTGGCGGACTTGAAGGCAGGTACCGAAGTGCAGTTCACCATCTTTGTTGACGAGAAAAAGGACAAAAAACGTGCAACGAGCGTGAGTATCGTGCCAGCGGGGACAATCAAGGTTGAAGTGCCAAAAAGCGTGAAGGGTGTTGTCAGTAAGGCAAGCTTTTTGCAGCGCATGAAAGGCGGAGCGAAGGGTCGTTTTCCGAAGGCAAATAACAAAGCAAGTAGCTTGGGACGTATCCGGTTGGTAACAGCGGAAGATGGTGCTGAAGACAGCGTTTGTGCAAACGGAAACACCGATGACGAAGCTGAGGAAGACGAAGAGGCTGTGCAGCAGGCGACAAATGGCGATGCGAAAACGGGGGAGCAATCCACTTCTGGTGTGACAAAAAAGGCGGAAAAGAAGAAGTTGGACAAGCAAATTTACTTGTACAATATTCGAGATATCGTCGATCCGAGCGTCGTTCTGCGTGAGGGGGATGAGGTCGAGTTCACACCTCAGATGCAACATAAGAACCTGCGTGCAGCTCACGTGCGGCTGATTGTCTCACATGCAAAGCAAGGTGTTGTCACGCGCATCACGGAGGATCTCGGTGGTGTTATTTGTTTGGACGGTGAAGAGCCGGCGGTCGAGGCTCGCTTCACTGCTCGAGGAGTACTGGGCGGAGACACCCTGCGTGAGGGCGATCGCGTGGAGTTTGCATACAGACCGCCTTCTGCTTCTCCCGTCAAGAATGAGATTTCGAAGAGTGAAATGGAAGAAGACAAAGAGGAGCAAAATGAAACAGGGTCCACGAAAGAGAACGAAGAAACGAACGACGAGTCCACGAACATTGTGTTGGGTCAGGCTCTGAGCGTGCTCCGCCTCTCCTCGTCGCCGAACGCAGCTGTTGCGTCTCCGCGACGAGGCTCGCGCATGGTGAACTCGACGCTGAAAGAAGCCATGCGTCAAGCTGGCGCGAACGCCATGGTGGCATCTCGAATGGCAAAGGGGCCCAATGGAACGCGTGGTTTTGCTGAGACTTGGAACCCCGACGCTGCGGAGACACTAGAGGTGGTGCCTGAGAAGCCCAGCGTGGAGTTGCCAACCGCTTCAGCTACGGCGGCATGTACCACGGAACAGAGTCAGGCATAAACGGAGCAAGTTCCGCGCTGACTAGTCCGTCACGTGTCGTGGGTTTGTTAGGCCGCACGCATCGGACGCCATGTTGACCATCAGGCCAATCGTAACGAGACGAATTGATGCTACAAGTTGCGACTTTCGTGTGAAGACATTGCCGTGATCGGTCATTTTCATCGTCCTGTGACGCAAACGAAGCAGAGCGTTCGATGTGGTACGAGGCAGACAACGAGTTGTAGGTCGAGTTCACCACTTTACAATCTAGCAGACACGGCTGGAGGTAAAAGCGGTGACTTTGCGCAAGCTGTATTCTTTGAACTCGAAGCGTGTTTGGCGTTACATGTGTAAGCAACAAGCATAATAAACACTTGACAACCCATCGGCTGATTGTGAGACCACTAATCGTGAGATACCAAGTTTACTGGCAGAACATACGGGCCACGCTATATGAAGCAGCCTTGTCACCACCATTGTGCACACCTCTCCGTCGTTCAGGCTTCAGCGTAAACATCTGCAAGCCAAATTGGATGGATGACCGTGCATCCATAGCGTATATCCTTGCGAATGTGGTCAGCACGATCTGCACGAGCAGTATTTAGTAGTGTGAAGCAGTCAAATGGCAGCAGACACCTTTGCAGCCATCAAGCAAGTGGACGAAGACTACTGGACGCGGAATGTCGAACTTGTCGACAAATCGCAGGACGTTTCTTGCGTGTCTATCGGCGTTCACTTTTGCCGTAAGTGTTCACCTGCGCTTCCACCACCAGCAATCGAGTCACTTGTCCCTTCCAAACTAGAACTAGAACCAGAACCTTGCTGTCCTTGGTACCGGACTCGGTTCCGCAGCTTCCCATGCTCATGAGTATCTATCTGCATGCTGCTTCGACATAGTCACCAAAGCATGACTCCACGAACTTCCATGCGCACAGCTCATGTGAGAGCGTTTGCTCACGTCCACGAGCAGCAGACGCTCACTCGATATCCTGTGCATCAGCTTTGCTACCACTCGTAACATCCCCGTCGCAGTGTGCAGCATAGCCCAAAGAGTGCATCGCTCGTAACAGGCGGGTCCATTGTACGAAAGGTTGCCATCGGCACCGTCGAGAACGACTGATCTGCGAACGATCCCGCTATATATGAGACCTTTCTGGATCGTGTAAAATAACGAGCATTCGTCTCGTAAGATCCACGTTAGCAGACAGTTGCAACTGTGCTGTTCTTCACGCAGTGGCAAGAGTAGCAACAACGTCAGTCAACGCGAATAATCGTCAGCGCTTCTCGGCAACAGCGGCCGAAAGCTAGATGGCGCTGTCGGTGAGAAAGGTTGACAAACGGCGAGTCTATCCTGTTCCTGTGGCAGTCCCACCAACCAATCATCCATACAGCAAGCAACGAAACAAAGAAATGACCAGCGTTATCCGACACTTCCATTAGCTGTCCGCAAGTATTCGAATTCCAGCCCTTTCGTCGTATAAAGTTTAATGATTCTCGTCTCCGACATCATCTCGACGCTGCGTTACCACGCGATGTAGAAACGTACTCGGTCGAGTGTTTCCACTGCTTGCACCATACAAAACCCCACCTACCACACGTCCTCGTGTCCCGTCAACTCCCGCCTCACACAACATCACTCAACACCCTCCTACACCACCCAACTCTCTCCATACTCACTGCAAGGCAGCAAGTTGCTCAATCGAAGCAATCACGAGGTTCACATGGTCGGACACTTCCCGCGCTTTTTCCTGCCACTTGTTCCGTTTGCTACATCCACAACAACAGCCACACACACACAACAACAGCCACACACACACAACAGCCACACACACACACGTCAACACCCCTACTACCGTCACCGCCATGCTCCGTCTTTGTAACTCACTGACACCCAGCACCGACCCACATGTCCCACCACAAGTGCCACTTCACCGCTACAAAAGTCGCCCGCTATCTGCTGCTCGCCCATCGTACCTCATCAAATAGCGCACGTGCGACTGCACAAACTGCTGCGCCTCTGCCGCAGTCATTTCCACGTAAAAGCCGAGTCCAATGTCGACGCTCACGAGCGACGCGTCGGCCACTTTGGCGCGCACGTGGAACCGCTCGCCCACGTCCACGAGCGTCAACAGCGGCTCACTGCGCGACAGCTGCGCGAGCGTCGGCAGCAGCTCACGCAGCAGTTGGTACTCGTGCACCTCTTGCGTCAGTGCGTCCCGCTGCGCGAGCGTCTGCTGCAGTTGGGGCCGCAGCACGTGCTCGACAAAGTCGCTGTAGCGCTGCAGCGCGGCCGTTGACGACTCGGATGCCATGACCAGGTGCAGGACGCGAAGCACAAGTTGCTCGTGGGAAACGTAAGCGATTGGGGCGCAACAGAAGGACGAGAAAAAAACGGTATGGTGCTGAAAGGCAACATAGCGAGTGAACCCACAACGACGCCCGCTGGAGGGTCAAAAACCCACGACGACGCGATTGCTGTTGTGTATGACTCGACTCGGCTTGCACTGGTATATTGGCAGCGAATCAACAACATTGGGCCATGTCGTGGGTTTGCATCGGGACAGCAGAAAGCACAGCGGTTTTGTGGGTTGTCGTCCATAATCATTGGACAGACTTGGACACGATCTTTACCAACCAAAGATGTCAATGCAGCCTAAACACGACCAACGCTTGGGCTACAAGACCAGGGGCCGCAGGGCGGAGAAAAGTACACCAATGCAACACGTTTCGTAGCATTGTCGTTTTGGGCTGATTTGCCGATGGAGTTGTATCTCTTCAATCACGGGATGCTCCCTTACCAACTTTTGAAGGATGGCAAAGAGAAGACAAGCTAGTTCAGCAGGTGGTGGAAACATTCGGCCTATATCAATTCACAAGATCTGGAGTGCATCTGGTCATGATCGCCAAACTTGTCGTAGACGCACATGTGGTCGGATCACAATCGGTACCAAAAGGTATTGAGGGTAAGCGATGACGGTGTCGATGTACACAGATAATCGCGACGCAACGTCAGCAATAACGCAAGAGCCTAGCCCACATTACGCACCTCGGCTTTATAACAGCAAACCAGCAGCATGCAGTTAAACAAGTGTCGCCAACCTTCTTAAACTTGTCACCCACTTCGTCTTCACGTATGACATCATATTCTTGTCCGTCAACTTGTGAAGCGCCACCAATGCTATGAGTCATGTGGTCTTCTCCATAGACGCGTCAACCTTTGCCGACGCAAATCGTCAGATAAAGGCTGAACTCGCCTTTATTTAAAAAAGTATTCTCCATCCACCGCCAATCAACAAAGTCAAAGGATACTAACCTTAAGAGCTCACAACATGAGCAACAAAAACTCAGCAACAACAGAGCTTGTGATGATGATAGACAGAAGTCCCTCTTCTGTAGAAGAAGACTGCAAAACGAGACGCACGCATTGCTAGATGCATGTATGATAGACGCTTGCGATTATGCAAATTATCGAAAGATATAAAGAGGGAACGCGGAGGTTGACGCTATCCCATCGACATAGCCATATAGTTTTCGATACGTCTTGAGGTAACGCCCTACTAGTTGTATCAATAGGCAGGGCAAAAACGGCCGTTTGTAAAATAATTGCGGCATTGAATAGGTATAAGCAAACTACTGCATTGCTGGACCCAGCCTACCCACCCACTTATACTCAGCATCTATGAATCAGACTGAGCGCAAGACGAGATGTCCTGAAGCTTATACAAAAAATGAAATTGTTGACCATTGCGAAACTTCACCTGACCACATAAGCGTTCGTTTTTTGAAGGGCTACACGAACTAAAGTAACGTTATACAATATGCATTGCTGCGACCTCGGGGCGCTGAAGTATGAGCTCCGCGCTCCAGCTTTCCAGTATATATCATTTTCATCGACAGCGCATTCACCGTGTTACTCAATCAAATCGAGACTTTCGCGAGCGACCAAGATTGTCCGCTGTCACTAGATCCAGAGCTTTAGCGGGTACGATACCACATATATAACTGGTCACCTTGCGCTTCTACAGTCAATCGTATAAGCAAATGTGCACTGAAGACAGTGTAGGTGGGTTTTTGGAATATCACGCAAACGGGCGCTGGGGCAGTTCTTTCTACCCGGGGAAATTTTACTTTCAATCCTTAACCGCCCAGATACCTGCGATCAGTAACTTACAGGATTTCCGACTCTGTGGTGTATCTTTTGCACACTTGCTTCACATTGTCACCCGGCTTCGACGCAAACGGGTGCTGGGGACGCGACTAAACTAATTTTACACGCCTCGCTGCAAATAAAGTATGGCTCTGTAAGTACAGTTATATTCTGTTCAGACTTAGCATTTTAACCAGATTCAGCTACAAACACCATGCACCTATGTGTGATGGCGACCTGCTCGCTACCCATCGCACTCGTCCAGCACTCATTGGACGCCTTGCTGGGTAACATGGTAGCTAACGTCTTACAAAGCACAAATGTTGCAAAATTTTATTGGGGTAGTTAGTCACAATGAGCAAAAGATGTAACGCATTAGAAATAATGTCAATCATATGCAGCGGGCTCGCCCCATTACAACACCTCCCCTTGACTATGGTCAGGTGACCTATGAAATTGATCATCGAACGACTATCTTTTTGTTGGCACTGAAGGGTCAAGTCGACGTTTGTCGGGCCTATTCATCAAACTTTATAGAATGAGTAATAAGCCCATGTCGTCCGCGACTGCAGTTTTGCATGCAGTCGTCCATGAGAGACTATACTCCAAAGCGATAAGCATTTCATCCTACGACGTTGATCCGTACAACTATACGCGGCGTTTTGTGAAGGAGATGCCGTTGCTCCTAGGTCTATCTACTGGCGCTAGATGTATTCAAATTCATCTCAGCACTTCGTTTGCTATTCAGCCGGTGTGCAGCAGGCAGTGAGCCACGTGTGTTAACGTTGCCTGTCTGTGTGCTTCCCTTGTAGTGTTTGCGGCAGTGCGGAGGTTGTCTTAAATGTGGCGGTGACTTAGCTCGCTATCCGGAACATGCACGTCAGTTATAGAGCTGCCGGCTGCCGAATCGCTACCAAATCGACTCGACGTGGCAGTCGGAGTCAAGCGGAATAAAACGCCTTTAACAAGTCGTCTAAAAATTGACGACACACTTTTATGTAGTCATCTACGCTTGATAGTGCGCAACGAGGGTGATTATGAGGTGGCTGTGTCCATCGCAGAGAAAAGTTAGTGACGTTGTCATGCTATTCCGTGATTGAACAGATCATGACTTACGCGACGTCAGTAATCTTCTGACGGTACGGAGGTCAGAGACTATAGTCAGCATTTAGACGTTGTGTACAAGCCGTATATATCTCCACACTTTTCGAAGGTCACAAAGTTAATGGTAGTAGCGAACGACATTACATGTAATGATAATGGGACAAGACTTCCTCAAATTGACTGTTATTTTATATAAATACTCTTTACTTGCTTATAATATCGATACCTATTTTTCGGCACTGATGTAGCAATCAAAGCTACGAGCGCGATGGTGTTTTGAAGGCCTATCAATCACTTTTTCTTCCAAATACAGCGACCGTGGGCTCAACGTCTAAACAAGCAAACGTAATGATCGCTAAAATGTATGCCACACAAATCTTAACACTGTGCATATTCACGGTCGCACTGGTTGTCTCAAATGCTTCCTCTTACTCGACTATTTTACAAAAAAACATGAATGCAGTTGTGTAAATTACTCTGATTGTCCATAAAGTTGGCCTGCGTCCGCACCAACATGATAGGTATTTGCATGATCAACCGATGATCACGAAGTGATTGCTTATTTGCGATTGATTGGGGTCCGCTGGAAGCTCGATACGATCAGATCCTGCCTCTCTATCATGTTCGATGAGACCACACGAGTTAAAAATTGGCTAATTGCTAGGCATAGCTTCATTTCATTGAATCTATAATACGCGCCATTATACAAGAACGCTTGTCCAATGTCTCTTCAAAAGATGATTGGATACGTAAGTGCTTCGCGAGGGGACGTAAGCCACCTGGATATCCAGTTGTAAATAGGTAGAGCAGATAAAACAGTATGACAGCTTCACTTATCTAGCAGATTATTTTCAACGCATACACAAGTGCTTTTGCAAGGATCTAGAAACGTACCTGTAGACCTTGGCCGATTGAGTCGGTTATATTGAACGTGCCGATCGAAAGGATCTAACGTCAACATTTGCGTTTGCTCAAATCGAGTTTAGGCAAAGACTACCTGTTTTTCGAAAAGGGCCGACGACAGCTTTTCATAATTATTATTGATGTTAAGGGGGTATTATGTACTGTAAGTTGCGAGCTTCAAACTCATTATTTAAGGTTGATGGGCTTTCTGGTACGTAGCGGCCATGATCATCGTCGGAAAAGGAAACGTTCTAGCTTGTGTATCGATAATCACATTTGCGTGCATTTCATACGCGTGAACAATATACGTGGTAGCTTGATCACCCGGTCATTCTGTTCGTGTTTCAAACGATTAATCGTTTGACCCAAGACGTTGTATGTTCATATATAAAGTGACATTTAGCCGTCATCTCTCTTCAGCACTCCAACGATCTTCGTCACAAGCTTCCGCAATTAAAGTGTGGACGATATAGACTTTGCCCTTTAAGTCACCAGAGATGGAGAATCGTGACCATGCAAGCGTCAGCGACCGGGTGAACGATGTTATCCGCCATCAATCCACCAACATTGTTTATGTCATCTTTTTGCGGGGTATCACGTGGACGAATGCAATGCAATAAGTCCACCTTGCTGGGTAGAAGGAGAACCTAAGTAGTAGTACATACATTGCGGAAATCTCGATGTCCATTAGGCCTTCCTGCTTTGCAAAGCGACGCGTACTGTGTAGTTAACTACCGCACGTGTCTACAGTAGACTGCAAGATTGCAAACAGCCGTTGACCCGGCGTGCGTTTACGAGCTGATTCGGTCATCATGACTACAATATCGTCACCCCTTTATTTTCATCATGCACAAGTCTATCAAAGTCAAGTGACTACCGGGTCACGCAGTTCAGTCGCCCATGGAAAGCGTGTTCTATCATGAATAGGTCACCAAAGCGTGTACCCATTTCGAGGAGGTGTCGCCAGTGCTCACAACGTCGAAGGCGCCAACAGAGGATACAATGGGCATGACGTCCGTAATGGCTTTTGGAATGGATCGCAGCGCAAGGAAGCGGACGTTGCAGTCAATGACCAATTGGGGGGCATTCGGAAACACGTACGATACACCGTTGTCATGCACCAAGTCCCATACAGTCAAAGGCTTGCGGTCGCGATGTTCTTGCACCGTGGCGTGATCCTCATCCAGCAACGTTGTTTGCACCTTCCACGGGCCAAACACGTACGCATCGCCTGCTGAAATAGGATACAGAGGAGCGACGTACGCTTCGAGTGGGAAGAAGCGGTCGCGGAAGATGACGAGATGCTTGCAGGTGGTCAGGAGCGACCTATTACCCTTTTTGAGCGTGATCCATGATCCCGTCTCGGCCTCTTTATTCTTGTGCTTGGCCTTATCAGTCGAGCTAGCGTCTAGACGCGCTAGCTTCTGAATCAGTTCGTGCAGGGGCTTGTCGCGCACCATACTGTTGCCCATGATGGAATGACACACCTCGCGAAACACTTCCTTCCACACAAAGAAAGGCTTATTCAATAGCAGTCCGCAGTCTACCCACACCGCAACATTGCTTTGTCCAACCGATTTCATGATGGGAGTCAAAACTTGCGAATGCACAAGATCAGCGCATTGCGTTGACTCGGCGCCTAGTGCCGAGAGGTTGTTAAGGAAACCGTCACCGTACATATCGCTGAGGAGAGGCACGAGGTGGTTGCGTAGTTTGCCACGTGTACTCCATTTTGGTGTCGTGTCTTTGAAGTACGGCACGCCGTATCGATGTGCAAACTCGAATATGACGTCCTTGTCAAAGTCCAACAGCGGACGCCAAATGCGCACGCCGTTCACTATGCTACTCGCCTGCATACCGTTCAAATTGAGCAGACTCAGACCCTTCATCATGTTTGAAATGACGTTCTCCTGCACGTCACCTCGATGGTGGCCGAAGCACATTCCCGGAACGTTATACTGCTGCATCACCTCGGCATACGTCGTATACCGAATCGTACGCGACATACGCTCGTACTCATCCCGTCTTGTCGTCGCGCGCTTCATCTCGTCAATGCAACGCACGTGAAAAACGATACCGAATCTCGTGCACCAGCGATGGACATAGTCACACTCTGCTCGACTCTCGGGGCGGTTTCCATAGTCAAGATGAACTGCCACGACTGCAAAGCCTCCATGTTTTTCTCTCAGCTTGTGCAGCAAATACGCCACGACCATCGAGTCCACACCTCCAGACAGCGAGACTGCCATGTGTGAATACTCGTGAGCCCTCTGCTGCTTCAGATACTCGTCTAGTGCACAATACAGTCGATGTCGAGGCATGTCGCTCTCGTCAGTCTCAATAAATGCTCGCTCCAGAATATCGTCGTCGGCACGGCTTTCTGTCTTGTCCTCCAAACTTTCTCGCAAATGCTGCCGTCTCCCAGTCGTCGTCCGTCGGAACTTCTCCAGCAACTTGCCATGTTGTTCGTGTACCTGTCGACACGTTTCAATTGCTGCTAAAACCTGATCCAGTCGTTCGGAAGTTGGCGAGTGACGCAATGGCATCAACGCAAACACAAAGTGAGGCACGGGCAGCTTCTCGTGCCAACTGTTTGCCAGCAAATGTTGCTCGACCACTGCCAGCGCGTGCGCGTCGTTCCGCTTGAGTTGCTCGCTGTTTTCGACAGCAACATCACGAGCTCGATACACATGACGCGAAAATTGGTCCAGGACGATAATAAGGGCCACACACGTGTCGGGAGACTCGGTGCGCCAGCTCTCGAGCTCCTGCGCCTCAGCGCGCTTCAGTAACGAGCCAAAACGATGCGCAATGTCAATGTCCGTGTTTTTCTGCTTGTCAGAGCCATCGGGTGCGAACCACTTGGACCGGTGCGTCTCGGCGTGGTCGCCATCAAACCAGTAACGCAGGACATCCTGTGCTTCGGTCATGTAGAGACGCTTGTTTACCAATCAAATAGTCCACTTGTAGCCTAAATGCGCGTCGTTTTTGGCGGCACCAACGAATTGACATTTGTGTCGCGTCGGTAGTGGCAAAAACAGACAAACTGAAATTGGGGACGCGGAATTGGTCGATAGCCATTGACAGTTGTGACGCGTCGAGTTTGGTAAGTGGTAAATATGACCGACCGCCTTTGTGGTAACACTTGCTCAGGCCCTTCGCATCAGAAGCGCTGCCTCGTTTTGTCAGCTTGCTAAGTCTAGTTGTTGTCAAAACGAGGCCGAATGAATCGACTGGCAATGCTGCGGCTTGTACACATTCTGAGGAACATCGACGTCGATTGCCTTCATGGCAACATTCTGGCGACTTACAAGTCTGGCATGGGTAGACAAGCACAAAAGTGATTGAGACCAAAGAATGCTCGTCGCGAAGGTGATGACGAGCAAGCACGAGGTGCTAATCTCGCGCAAGATCAGTTGGAATGCGTTAGACCACACCCAAGTCTACCGTCTTCTTTTCTATAAGTAAACTAGGCACCAACAGCAAGTTGATGTCGGTATGGAAGCGTTCAGTTGCAAGTTGGTCAACATTCGTGGACGGCTGGGCGGTTGCCGCTAGTGGACCAGTGGGGCATACTCGACATATGTTAGCTTTGACGACAAGAGAGCTATATATCTAGGCTTGCGTAAGTTGCTTTGTTGCAGACACGAGACGAGACGTTATGGAATAGTGCAGCATCCGTACGCTAGAAAATCTCTTATGATGAATACCGACTTGTACGCAACACATTATAATATTTTTGCTTTTGACCAGCATTGGCGTGACGCGCGAGCTATCTACATTTATGCTGGGGCGTAACGCCTGGCAGATATAACACAATCTAGCTGTGCAGTCTCGCATTGCATGTATGCCTCATTTGCATCTTTCGCAACGCTTCAGACCCTCTTTGCTGCGCGGTGATAGAGGTATCGGTACAAATACGTCACGCATGGTCGACACGTCGACCGCAAGACATGGTTCGAGTGCGCCTGCACGTGGATAGCTGACGATGCAACGGTATTGATGTAGGAGAGCAAATGTAGAGAATTGAAGGAAGAGCTATAAGTAAGACGGGAACAGAGGACAGACGATCAGAAGTCCTCAATCGCTCACGCGTGCTCGTAAGTCTATGTAGATCAATGCTATCTGTGACGAGCAGACGTAAGTCTGCTGTACCAACTTCTGCCGAAACGCGATCTGCGAAGTCTAACGGGCATTGATGGGCTATGCGATCCGTAGGATTTGCATCTTGCGGGTGTCGAATATTCGATTCAATGTACAATATTATTGCGCGAAAGATAAGAGCCGAGGAGCTGGAAATTTCGGACTTAGCCTATACTGAAAGACGCCAAAACTCATGGCTACCTAAAAATTAATGGCTACCTGATCGTCTGCGTCGTTGATCATCTGATGTGCTGATTGCAATAATAATGAGCTGTCAGGCAAGTTGTAACGGGGTGAGTCTGGTTCATGACGTTGATCATTACTGAAGTCTATGCGAGTATTGTCTTCGTTGTTTACATCCATCAATAGTCGTTGATGGGGCAAGATGGAGTAAATCTCGTTTATGAGCGTAATCTTCTGCAGAGATCGATACATTGCGCACTGGCTGATGCAGGCCTTGACATCAACCAAAAAACCATAAACCCATTCCAATTGAAGCCAGACGCGCGCAAGATGTGGCAAGTGAGAACAAAATTGCGTTTCTTGACGTATACAACCGTGCATCAGTAGGTGACGTCAAAATGCGCGCAAATGCAGGTTCACGTACAATCTACTATTTCGTCAGAAGAATTGCGCCATACTGCCTAAGAGTTCAAAAAACGCACAAATAATGTAGACTATGCATATTAATTACACGCCTGGGGTCATCTAGGTGCCGTGGCATTATTAACAGTGGCCGACAAATGTCCGCATAATAAAGCCGAAATTTGACGGAAGTCTGAAGGCTAGATGCTCCGATTAATATTCAGGACTATTTGCTTGTATTTAATAAGGAAAAAACAGGAAAAATTGACGATCGAGTTTGTCGATTCGCTTTCTCCATCTAGTAGTACTAGGCACAAAATACTAGCACGCTTATGTTATAAAGTTAATTATAATACATGGCTGCTAGGATATCAATACGGGATATTAGTAATGCTCTTAGTGCGGCAAAAACGACGGGACCCTGAGCCGAAATGAATCCGTACAACCTTAACAGCGTATAATTGCTCTCAATTTAAATTATCAATCTGCCGACAAATGAACGTTCGACTTATTCGAACCTGTTTGGAAATAAGGCAAAGCGCTATGATGGCCAATTATACAATCATCAAAAGTCAAACCACTACAGTATTATCTTTGCGATTTAAAGTCGACAAGTCGCCTTGTCGAGATCTTTCGACATAATTTGCGGTCACCATTTGCGATCCGAGGTAAAAGACTCAGTACGATAATCGAGCTATATAATACTGCACCCACGACATAAATGCACTCACGACATAAATGCACCCAATACAATGTCAAGAAGCGTGATACATTGCAGTATATAAAAGTCGTGCTATCAGGTTACTATCTTTAGTCGAACATTATCGGATCATTAACAATTTCACGTATCGAAATGCGACAGCATATTTTTTGAGGCAGGCCATCCGACGGTATAGACCGTCCACCATCGCATTTGCAGTTGTTATAAGCTCTGACCCTGAACAAGGCACCTCCATTAACTATCAAGAGCAAAGAATATGGTACTAAATCCAGCTCCTTACGAAACACGTGGATATAAAAACCACCTATTCACTTAGAATACGCTTATCAAAGACACTGCGTCTGATAGCTTCGTCATCATGACTGCCATGACACGACGCAAACATAATTTTAACCCAAATATCCAACCAATCGGTTGCTTGGAGTATATCTGGGTCGTGGATTAGAGCTTCGTGTGTCAAATTTGGGGCATAATTTGTCATGTAGAAGGCGTAAATAGAATAATTAACTCGAGTGGCTTTTATATGTTTTTATGATGCTTGTTCCGGCCATTGGCTCGGTCAAGATACCAATCAGTATGTATGAATCTATGAGCTAGTTGCTTTTGTCTATAATAATGTGAGAGTATAGCTAAAGTCCTCGAATCTTAATAAGCCTCGTTAAGCGATGAGGCCCCACGGCTAAGTGAACTATAAAGTGATGAGAACGAAAAGGTCGGCAAGTTGTGATACAAATCTATTTTGCTTAATTAAGTAATAAATAAATTAGATGAGTTACGTCAATGTGAAAATTAAGTAACGCGGACTTGAGTAGGCGACACCATAATTAGTTGGAGCATGTACGAGTAGTATTTGATTTGACAAATAATACTTTTTTTAAGTATGATCGCTACGCCGCGTATGTTATCTCTGCATAGAGCTATAAATGCGGTACAATTATTCCTTGGCGCAATCATCGCTGACTTGTATCGCTCGATGCTCTGTGTCACAATATCCTTTTATATAGGATCTTATGCATGAGCATGTATGCGAACTTTCTGTTAAGGTCTATACATAGCGTGTATTGACAAAATATCAGTAGGGTTCTATCTCAAATACCAATATTAGTAGGTTTTACCAGCGCTTGCACAACGATAGACCTCGGTATATAATATGTGTGAAGAATAATCAAGACGATATTGTTGCGGATGCAAGAAATTAATGGAGCTGTCGGATTTCATCCAAATCATTCCCTTGGGCTTTAGTCGATATTTCTCTATATACAGTCACACATTACCCGTTCGAATGACTGCAATTAAATTACCATTTTATGCTGTTTACACATAATGCCGTTGTCAATGTACGGGCTCATTAATCTGTTTGAATCGTGATTGATTGTCATACCAGTAAAATGATCAAAAATACCACTGTGGATCAAGCTCAAGCGATATTATAAGTATCGTGAATGCTAGATCATGCGTCCGGCTGTCCAACCAGCAGCAGTCGCTTGTTTTTTGTACACCTCAAACTGCACATACTATGCCAATCTGAACGATATTGTGCGATCACACTTCGAATGAATTTGCCGTCCGCCACATAAATTTTTTAGGACGGAAGCGCAGTTTTAGTCCAACATACAATCCATGGATGTTTACTAAATAAAGAATGCGTCAGTCCACTGCTGGTATTATTTGGTGAGTTCACACAAGTTCCTTATGAGTGAATTCTTTCGCGCTTGTTGGAGCTCTAAGAGACCAACCCGAATTGTAAATTAGTATGACGATGTAGATAGTGACTTGGATTATCTTCACTGTGGTGAGAGTATCTGAAGTGATCAAAAATGTCGCTATAAACAAAATTTCATGGTGCGATGCAGCACGAAGTATGAAGGGGCCATAAAAACGTACGTACTACACGCCTATACCCCCTCAGCGTCAACTCATTTTGCTTACCGAAAATGAAAAGGGATGTATACTAAGTAGCTTAAATTCAATTGTCAAGCCTCCATCGCATTTTTTGTAGCAAAATTGTTTTATATACATTGTAAAAAGAAAATGACGTATTTTTTGACATGCATAATATATCTATATCTTATTTTATCTATAAACGTGACACGAAATTCCTCAATAGACTTAGGGCGCATTTATTCACCACATTATCCGATTGAGATTACATTGTGGCCAAAAATAACTAACAATATTTATTCTATGTTCGATAATTACCATTTATACGGTTTTACTTATGCTCCGACTAGCAATAGCTGCTAATAATCGCAATTTTTATGAAAAGCAATACCTGGGATTTTTTGCCATACCGCAGTTGGCCCATGTATAGGTTCAGTTGTCATATTGAACATGAGCTATGATAACCTTACAAAGAAATAATTTCTCGTGATTGACATGTAGATCTCTTACAAATTTCGTAGTGACTACCACTTAAAAATGGCATGGCATGCACCACAGGATTTTTTACTTCAATGGACTTTCTGCACCGTTTTTGGCTTA